GTTCCTCCTTATCAACCTTCAAGATTAAAATTGTCATAGTATAATATAATGTTGTCCTTTCATATTCTAACCTCATAATACCCATAACTTCATTTTAAATAAGCTAAAAACCATTTTCCAACTTTTACACCTATATTTTCAAATTTTTCTTATCTTTTCTTTTTCTGTCTTTTTGTAATAACTTTGTAAGTAAACTATGTTGATCTTAATAATAATTTTGAAATAAGATGACATAATAATGATCTAATAAGTATACATAAGCCTCTAAGAGCTTCAATTGATCTGAAAACCTGAATTTCGAATTCTCTGCTATATTGAAGTTTGCTAATAAATTGGTAAAGTAAAGATGATTAATTTTCTTGCTTGATATCATAAATAGATCACCACACCGTTTGGTGGGTTTACGCTTGCCTGTAGGCATGGTGAAGTAGGAGATCGGTGAGGAAGGGTGGCAGGATGGGGTAGTGAGGGGAGGGAGGGCGAGCTACTGGTGGAAAAGAGTGGATGAAGCTGGTGGACAAAGGGTAGCTTAAGTATGTACAGTGGTGAGCTGGGGAACTGGTGAAACTCTGGTGTACAAATGGTGGGGATGGTGAGGTGGTTTGCTAGTGGTAGGGTTATGGTAAGCTTGCCACATGTGGTGGACTGAATGGTGGAATGGTGAGTGTGGTAGGGTTGTGGTGAGCCTGGTGGGATGGTGGTGAGGTTTAGGTACTTGAACTATTGACAGACTTTGAGGAAAAAAATCTCAAAAAGTTCTAACTTGAGATGTAAAACTAGATATAAGGGCAGAAACGGAACGTATCCAGTGATAGGACTTTCTCTACCACTGGATACTATTGGCCAAAAGTAAAAGGCCAGAGTAGCCCATTTGTGCAAGCGCTTGATGGATTCCTTGATGGGTTCAATCCCTTCATTCTTACCAAAAATGACCAGGTCAGTCTGATGTTATCAGTTTAATCAAGCCTCAGGAAGCAAAAGGATTCAAACCTTGACTAATGCTATTCACTTCAGCCTCGGCAATGGCACACACCATTCACTTGGGCAGTCAACACCTATCGACTCTTGCTGGCAATGACAGAAGCCGTGATTGATGAACAACTTTGCCTCACCGCCCTGGACAAAGTTGCTGAAAACTGTCCTTGATGCTTTGGGCCACCAATTCCACTTGAATCGCAAGCCTCAGAACCGGATATAGTAGTATGCATGGATGGTAATTTTCAGCATCAACGTCACATAGCTGCAGGAACTAAAGCAGGGAAAGTAGCTACCAAGATTCCACCACTGTTTCTACCGGACGAGACAGTGAAACAAGTGGAGGCCCGGCTGAACGGCCTACCTGAGGATGAGTTCGTGAGAAACTCTTTGAACTGTTCATTCATATCAACTTGTAGCTTTCTCTTTACAAGCTGACGTTTGCTCATTTGTATCCAGCAAGCTTGTGCAGCTCAACATACTGCAGCGAATGATACTCGCGGTAAAGGCCATTGGGGAGGTTGTGACAAGACAGGTCTAATGGCGATGGTGTGCCGTCACAACCACTCTCTCCGCTTTGCTAACATTGTGCAAAGTGGTTAAAAGTAAGTTTTTTCTCTGGGTTCCTTTTTCAATATAGATTAATAACTGAACATGGGATCGATCAGGCTACACTTTAGCTACAGTTTGATTCAATGGATACTAGACTTGACCCGGAACCATGGACTCACTCCTCGCCGAGTTGCCTTTTTGTACGACATTGGATGTACAATGCTTGCTGGAATAGAGAATGTAAGGTTTATTGTGGCCAAACATTCATAATCGTACTAAAAGCACGGTTCGACAGCGTGGAATGTTTGCAGACAAACAGGCCCACGGGCGACTCAAATTTGGCACAAGCGTATTCCACGCGTATGTGCATCGGTGGTCTTGCCCGCTGCGCTGGAATCCCCGTCTTAATCTAGGGTTTGGACTTTCTGATGGTGAAGGAAGCGAGAGGGTGTGGTCTGGCCTGGATTCCCTCATACCTCCACTCAGGTACGCCACCGCACAACACCGGGTGAACATGATCCACATGCGTTCAGCTCATGTCAATTCACGTCTGTGTCATGAAGCGGGTATGCAAATGTTCCTGAATATTTGTATCCATACACATCATCCCACTGACCATCCCCTGCTGTTCGATGTATCACAGTTTATCATCTAATAAGGAAGAAAACTGAGGCTAAGAAGCGCCTTGAAGAGGCTTCAGAGACCCTTAGGATGCTATCGACCCCGGGCGAGGGGTGCCCTGGACGCGATTCTGCCTATTTTGAGGCCAAGTGGATGGCTCAACGAACGCGACAGCTAGATGCAATGACTGAGAGACAGCAAGCAAAAAGAGACAAGATAGCTCTGTTACTCGGTCTGGAGGAAGGCCTTCATGTTACTCTGTAAGTGCAGCCTAGCAGCTTACTAACAGTTGGTCTCATAATAGACATAATCTGACCCATGAATTTGGGTGCATGAAACGCTTGACTCGCCTTCATGGAAGATACTGATAGAAGAGCAAGAACCCAAGCTGAACGAAATGAGCTGCTGGCCCTTCCTAGGACTGTGGCTGATATTGAAGACCGTATTGATGCTGTTGCGATTCAGCTTGGGGGTGCTGAGTTTCGAAACATTTTGGGTGCCCAAAGTACGTCTCCATCGGCCTTCATGAGATGAGATCATTGATGCTAACATGTCTGAATTACCTCCAGAGAATCAAAAAACCGCACTTGTAGCGCTGTCTGTTGCGCGGGGGTGCTTGTATGAAGCAAAAGTTGGTGTAATTGAATCAAGGCTACAGCGTCATCGCAGCTCAGGTGACAAACAATTGTACGTATTTATCCAGACCCAACCTGACGCATATGCCATTTCTGCCACCAGGAACGAGAGTACAGCAGCAGCACGCACGCCAGTGTAGAGATAAATTGAGAGATCTACGGACCAAATACAACACTTACGAGTGATGTGTTCTCAAGTATCACACAGATTACCCAACAAGTGAGCGTGTGGAACTGCCAGACTTTGAAACAGTTGAATCAATGGAGACAAATGATCCCTTATGGGACTGCGGCAAAAACGAGGTACAAGAGGGTGACGAGGCGGAAAAAGGCCGCATTCGCCAAGGAATTCAAGCCTTCTTGGCCCATAGGTCAGCTAAAGAAGAGCTGCATCGTATCGCACAGGAAGCTCGCCAAATGATGAGTTGGTCCATTGAGTATCATGGTCGAATTATGACACTCAAGAACAGTCTTGATCAAGGTAATTGCGTTGTTACTGTGACTTATGTATATGATTGCACTTCAGGTTGATTGTTTTAATTGCGACTTGTATCCAGAGGATACTCCTGCAGAGAAGACTCAGAAGATGGCCCCCTTTACAGGATTGTGGCTGGTCGGGCTTGTCAGTTGTGGAAGAATTGTCAAAATCTCAAAAATCAGCTAGAAGATACTCGTTGTGAATTGCCTGGCTGCGACCAAGTGGATAGAACGTTAGAACAGGGTTGGAGTAAGGTTTGTGATTGGGTAATTGCAGAAAGGGCTCAGTTGACGCCGGAGGTGATGGGGGAGGAGCCTGATTTTTATGAGGAGCGGGAGGACCACATTTATGAACTATTTTATGACATGAATGGTAATGAGATATGGCAAGACTAATGCTTTGTGCTTTTTCATGTAATTATTTTTGTTGACTTATATAACCGATTGTTTGCTATGAATTTGATATCTATTACGGTCGAATCTCAATCTTTATACTGTACATATGAGTTTCTAGATCACCTATGGAATCAATGATAGATAATCAGATGCCAGGATACTGGATCTCCAATGAACACGTGAGGCAGGCCAAGTGTGACATTCCTCTATATTGCTAATGTTATTTCAAGACATAAGACTACGAATATGTACAGTACAACAAAGCTAATCTGAATCAGAGGATGCGGAATCAACTTCAATGGGATTAGAATCACCATTAGAGTACAAGCGCGGGTTTTCAGCTACTAGGATGGGGCGGATACATTGTTTAAAAGCATCAAATTGTGGATTATACTTATTAACCCACTCTAGTGTGCATGGTTTGGCAAGTTGGTACCATTTGTTCCATGGCTTAGGAATTGGAAGAGATGGGGAAATTTTCATAGATAGAGACAAGAAATGCAAACCATTTTGATCAAAGCATAGAAAAATTGGAGGGTTGTCATTTACAGGACCGTTCAGAGGGAATGCTGAAAAGGTTCCATTACCAGGACCATAGACACAGAATAACCGCTGGTACGTGGTTGCGATGAGGTATAGCATTTGGGCCGAAATGACCCAGAGGGTTGGGGTGTCCAACACTCCTGGCCGTTAAGTTCTGATTAGCGAGATGTGTTCAGGGATACCCCCATCGCCTCTCTTGCGTGAATTGAAGTGAGATTCATAAAAATCGGGTTTTCCCAGTAGCTCAGCAATGAGCTCTTCTTGCACTGAATGCCAGTCATCTTCAGATTGTCCCAAGCTGATGGCGATTGCGTAATAACCACAATGACCATCCGCTCGTGGGTTGGAGACTGAAGATTGGCAGTGTTCCCAGAGCCTGCGGTGGTACACACAATTCCATTGCTCGAGGGGTGTAAGAGTGACGGGCGTGGATAGGCTGAGGTGACACAACCTGTGACAGTTGATACAGATCTGTCACGGGTGAATTGTGTTTGATGAGTTGTGGAGAAGGAATTGCAGAGTTTTTCCTCTCTACTCCACAACCTCACACCTCCCTATCCCGCACGTCAGTGATCACACAGATCACTTCTGTTCAGAGCTCATAATCTTTCTCAAAAAGGCTAGAATTCTTTCTCAGGTTCAATTTCATCACTCTCTGATTCACAATACTAGCAGACAAATACTAGCTCATCGTCAATCCCTGTTTAAATCTAGACCCTAACAGGTAGCAATTGTCCTTGAAGATTGATGTGGAGAAGACTGAAGACAAACACCTTCCTCAATAAATTTAAATCAAACCATATGATTAAGGCGATTTGTGAAGCGGAAGAGAGAAAGAAAGCCCAAGAGATTAGATTAATCAAACAGGCTGAAGGAAGAAGAAAACATGCGGAGTCAAGGATGCCAGCGTCTACGTCTGGAAATCAGATCGGTTCCCAAAATCCAGAAGGACAAATGGAAGACCGACTAGTGAATGAATCGAATCTGACAACGGTTCGTGAGGAAGAGAATCTGGGCGGAGCAGCTCTGGGTGAACAGGTTGGAGATGGTGATGAAGACTCAGAGGCTAGCGACTCGGCTGGAAGCAGTGGATTGGCCACGGAAGGTCCATCGGAGGAGGATGTGAAACCAATATTGAAGAAACTGAAGTCGTCAAGGAAGAGGAAGTCAAAGACAAGCAGGGGGGAGGAAAGGAAGGTATCCTCGTCAGAATCTTCGGATGATGGAGTGGTTATACCGGGGAGGAAGGAGAAGGGAGGGTTATTTGGTGACTTGATTGAAAAGAATCAAAGTAATCCCATTTTTAATTCTGGTCTGCACGTACGGGAGAGTCCTCTTTATGGTGTGCAGCGTATTACGCTCCTGGAAGAGGTCTCGAGGTAGTTATTGTAACACCTAGCCCTCAGTCGTGGAACCGTTTAACCTGTAATGGTCGTGAGACCTGCTCAAGCTCCAGTTAATTTTGTTGTAGCAGAAGGCGTCGGGACTAGCTCCGGGGTGTGGACCACCACCGTGGCGCTTAGGAGGTTGGAAACCAGATTACTGACATGATATGTTACGAACATTTCACAGTTTGCCAGTTGTCTTCATCAAAAGTGAAAGTGACGAGAGGAGGTGCCAACAAGCACCAGACCCAACGCTCCTTAACGGCAAGACTGGCTGATGCGGTGGAATCTGAAAACCTGGAGTCAGTTCGAAACTTAAGGAGAGAGTTGGATGTGGCCCAATCAGAGTTAGAGAAGGCAAGAGACTTGCTGGGGAAGAGTTCGAAATCAGAGGAGGGGCAATCTAGGAAGGGGAAGAAGAAGATGAAGAAGTCAGAGAAGGGGAAGAAGAAGAAATCGAACAGGAAGAGGAAGCGTTCATCTTCTCCATCGGGAGATGGTTCTTCATCTGGTGATTCAGGAAGGCAGGTTGACGTACCAGCAAAATCAAGTAAGGAGAGTGACTTGTCGAGCGACTCTGAGTCGGATTCAGAATATTTGGTAGATGAAAAGAAGAAGAACAAGGCCCCCTCTTTTGTTTTCAAGAAACTCTCTGGTTTTGACCTTCCTGATCTTCCCGTCCCCTGGGAGAGGAATTTCAGAAAGATGAAATATTATGTTCCCCTCACGGTCTTTGACGTGTCATACATTGACCTCTATAAGACGACTTGCAAGACGAAAGATGGAAAATGTAATTGGGATAAACATCTACAGTCCCGAGGAGAATTGGAAAGGCAGTTGACTTACGGGGATTTCATCCTGGCCTGTGACCTTGAATATCGTTACGCGATGGAACGATACAAATACCCGGAGTATGCAAAATATGTCCAAAATCATAAGGAGATTGTGAGCATGCTGTCTTGGAAGCATAAATGTTGGATGGTAGCTCTGCGGTACCACCTAGCATTCAGAGCAGTAACATTTCGTGTTTGGACTCCAGAACAAGCTGGGAAGGGGAGAAAAAAGGGGGATCAGGTGGAATTGCCGGATGGGATACAAGAAGAGGCGGAGAGAGATGCGCGGTGGGATGCACATACGGCTGGAGACCTGAAATGCAAAGGAAATCCGTACGCGGAAGGTCAATTTAAGGTTGGTTTTTGTACCTTTGAAGGCAAAGTCCCATGTCCATTCGGACGACGCTGTGGAGCATGAAGGCCCGAGAGGTGGGAAACAGCAGAAGAAACAGTGTGGTGGAAACCGCGGTCATAACTCGGGCTACCAGAAATCCTATCAAGCTGCAAATCAGACGGCCAGTCAGTTCCAGAGACGGGATCGAAACTCTGGGAAAGACTGGGTAGCATTGGGTCAACAACATGCGAGCAATGTGGCCTCTGGTTCGGGTACCGTTTCTGGTCCAGCGAAGGGAGGTAAAAAGGGGATCATGACGTTGGGAGCAAATGAACGGTGAGCTTTCATCATTGGGTTGTTGGTTGGATTGTGTCTGATCGGGATTTTCTCTGGGTTCTTGATATGCGTTGTGTTTGGTTTTGGGTCGCGTGGGTTGTTAATACGGATTTGGCTGGTGATTGGGTACATCTGGATGGTTGGCTTGATGGTACGGCGCTCTTTCAATTTGTAGTTGAATACTCATAGTGAGAGTGGGTTTCAGTCCAAGATGTGTGGAATAGAAGAATCCTGAAGTTTCGTGACTATGCTATTATTGTGTCTAGTGCCATGGGAGTGCCAATCCCGTGAGAGTTGATCTTGAGCGTGAGATCAGAAATCGGGCAAGTGAAACCAAACGTGAGAGTGAGACTGAGCGATCTGAACACTCAGACTCCACCAAATCATCCAAAGAGTCAGAGCCTGGGACCAGAGGAAAGAAGACACTGAAGGTCATTTTACCTCTGAGTCAGCGCAAGATATATGCCGTGAAGACTGACAACATCTGGCCAGCGCCGGTAAAGACGGAAATGAACGTAGCTGAGTGGGAGATATTAATGAAGGAGGTTGGTTTGAAGGAAGACATACCATACATTGTGAATGGATTTAAGGAAAGGGTTCTGCCTTGGGATTCCACAACACAAGATAGCAGGGAAGAGATGGTATACACCAGACAATCATCAATCAGCTCTAGACGTAAAAGAACAGATTAATAATACGATCAAGAAAGAAGTGAGGGCTGGAAGAATGATTGGTCCTTTTACTCACAAGCAGGTGTATGAGAAGTATGGTTTCTTTTGGACAAATCCCATGGGTAGTGCCATAAATGGCGATGGATCTGTTAGGTTGATCAACGACTTGTCGCACCTGAAGAAGAGGAGGCCTAGGAGAAGGAATGCCAAACCAGTGAAAGAAACGGAGGAGGAAAATTCAGAAATCCCGTTGGTCAACTCGTTCGTGGATAAAAGGACTTACAGTACAAACTGGGATGATTTCAAAATGGTAGCAAGGTCTTTTGCGAAAAATGAAGGAGAATGGGAAGCCGCTCTCTTTGACTGGGAGAAGGCTTACCGGCAACTGCATAATAACCCGTCTCAAAGAAGATTCCTATGTATAAAGGATTTCGAAGGGCGCATCTGGATTGATATAGCAGTAGGCTTTGGTGGAGTCGCAAGCTGTGGGGTGTTTGGTGCTCCAGCGGAAACCTGGAAGACAATCATGATGACAATCTTGAAGATTCTTATGATTTTCAGGTGGGTCAACGATAATCTGATACTCAGAAAACCGGTGTAGAACTTATAACCCAAAAAGGGTTATACAGAGCTGGAAGAGGATAATCTACTAATAAAAATGGCTAGTAGAAGCTGTCTAAGGACTGCTCTTCTAAAACAACACAATCAGGAGAGTCTCTGTTGTATTGAGTACAGATAAGGCACCAGAGAAATATATCTTCACATGTATTTTAACTTCAAAAGCACAATTTGTATTACTATCAACACTGCTATAGTGTTATTCCCAAATGATAACTAAAGAAATAAGCTATATCTTATTGATATTATTCCCAATGAGTCTTTGTGACTATCACTACACAAAATGTAATCTTTACCGGGCGGTAAAGAAAACTACTGACATAGAAAAGTCCTGAGGCAACAGGAAGAGAGCTAAAAATCTGAAAAAATATGCACCTTGTTCCTAGATGTTGGGGCGTCATGACAAGTATTTTTTTGTATTTTACACACAGATATTGGTTAATGTACTAAGAATAAAGGCTGAGAATCATCAAAAACCCACCTGTAACAATACCTGAAATTTGGCCCTTGACTTTGAAGACAGGATTTTGGAATCTTCAAACATCAATAACTTTTGCAGTTCTGAATCAAATCACTCGATTTGAAGTGCATTAAAAAGGTGAGCCTGTCCTCTACATTTCTCATTGGGACATCACATCTGTAGCTGGTTTAAAAAAGATCCTACAGAGCTATTCATGCAGAACTGTTTGAACATATGTAGAGTGTTTAAATGACTAGAGAGAACCTTACTAACATTATGAAGTGTGAAGAAGAATAGTTCAGCTTTTGAATGAACCAGAAATCGAGTCTTTTGGAGCAGAATTGCAAAATTTATCAAAGTTTTTAGACCACAAAATATTGTCTTCATACTCATGACCCAAATTTCAGGTATTGTTACATGTGAGTTTTTGATGATTTTCAGCGTTTATTGTTAGTACATAAACCAATACCTGTGTGTAAAATACAAAAAAATACTCATCATGACACCCCAACATTTAGGAACAAGGTGCATATTTTTTCAGATTTTTAGCTCTCTTCCTGTTGCCTCAGGACTTTTCTATGTCAGTAGTTTTCTTTACCACCCGGTAAAGATTACATTTGGTGTAGTGTATAAAACTAAAGTAAATTTCTCTTTATAGCTATAATAAAGGGCGTATTTAAGTGATCAGGTACTATTAAAATAAGTTTATGATGATAAACAAAATAATAACTGCATAAATGATAAAGAAAAAAAAAGGAACAAAAATCCCAAAATCCTCTCAAAGTATATATAACAATGTACTCCAACTTTTACAATGGTCAACAGCCTCAAAACCAATCAAATCCGCCCAGAAATCCTCAAAAACCCTATGATGACGCAATGTAATGATTTTGTTACTGATAAATGATGCAATTTTCACAGCCAAAAGTGATCAATGATGCAATAATATGATGTATAGCACTTCTTATGATGAATCCAGGTGATTTTTTCCTTGTAAACTAGCTGAAAACCAATTTTTGAGATTACAAATGTTTTCAGATGTGCTTCAATTTTTGATTACTAAAGTGCACCTTGTAGCCCTCGTGTTACTGATCATTTCTGACACCCATATGATCTACTTTCGATGAGTGATGAGTAAGATATTGAGCTGTGAAGTTAAGGTTTTGAGCATTACATGTTGACTTGTGACTGTAAATTCAAGATTCACACCAATTCTTTATTTGCCTTATAACTTTTTTCATACACCTCCGCTACTATCAATTTAAAGTTTGTACATTATGTAATCTACTCTTCTGCGTTGAATGAGCCATCTACCAACCCAATCTGACGTCATTTGACATATGTAATAAGCTGAAAACTTTCATTTTTGACGAAATTCACCCATTTTCTCCACTTTTCACAGCTGTTACTCTCTTTCTCTTGCTCAAGTAATATGACATCATCTTCTATAACCTTAAAAATCCTGGAAAATCCTCTTGGCAACCTCAAATTCCATTACTATCACTATTACATAACCAAACTACACGTGTACCTCTTGTTTACCAACTTCAAAAAAGTGCCTTTTCCCTAATAACTTTTGTTTCTTCTTATCAACCTTCAAGATTAAAATTGTCACAGTATAATATAATGTTTTTCTTTCATATTCTAACCTCATAATACCCATAACTTTCTTTTTACTACCCTAAAAACCATTTTTCAACCTTTGTACCTATATTTTTGAATATTTCTTATGTTTTTCTTTCTTTCTTTTTATAATAGGTTTGTGAATAAACTATGATGATCTTCATAATTAATGTGAAATAAAATGATGTAATGTTAACCTTATGACCAATACATTATAAGCCTACAAGAGCTTCAATTGATTAGAAAAACCTCCATTTCGAATTTTCTTTCCTACTGAATCCTTCTAATAAACTGGTAAACTGCTAATTGTGAATTTTTTAATTGATCCCATAAATTGATCACCACACCGGGTGACACGGTAACATTAGAAGAGATCACTCATCTGAGTAACAGACTCGGAGTGAGAACGAACCGATTGAAAAACCATGATTTTGCTACGGAACAGAAGTTCCTAGGTTTTATATGGACCGGGGTGGATCATACTGTTAGATTACCCCAAGCAAAATTGCAGGAGAGGACGGACCAGGTCAAGGCTTACCTAGATGAGGAGAATTCTTGGAGGTTCACTCAAGTAGAACAGTTCGTCGGTAGACTAAATCACATAGTGTGTATTGTCCCGCATATGGCGACCTCACTTGGCTCGTTCTATCAATGGTTGAAGTCCTGGGAGAACCTTGACGCGAAGCGGCACACTCCTGAAGACGTGCTGGAAGGCTTAAAGGAATGGGGCGATTGCCTATCGTCATTTGAGTCTTGCAGACTCATAACAAACCCAGACCCAGAGGAGGTTGGCTGGGTGGGCAATGCGTCATCGTCATTTGGGTGAGTAACGTTCCTGACAGAGCACGTTGATTAAGAGATCTGATGAAGGTGGTGTTGTTGGGTAGGATTGGGGTATTGATTGGCCAACGTTGGGCATGCTTTGAATGGGAAAAAGATTGGTTAGTGAAAGGGCTGACATCTGGCAAACGTAACATTGCGTGGGCGGAGACTGTTACCATCAGGTTGGGTCTCCTAGTCCTGGCCAAGGCGATCCCAGTGAAAGGCAGAACGTTTTGGGTCAAAACTGATAATACGACTACAGAGAATGCGATTAAGAATCGGAAGTCGAAAGATGTCAGAGTCAACAGTGAATGGAAACAAATCCAGAAATTACTAACCAAATTAGGCTGTAACATTAAGCAGCGACGTGTTACGTCAAAAAACAATTTAGCAGACAATTTATCGAGAGGGATATTTCAAGGAAAAGTTTGGTCCAATGAAGTGGCGATAGACATCCCACTGGACCTCCGACCTCTTTTGTCACAAACCTCGATCCCGGACCCAGTCAACTCAGACGAAGATGCCTAGGAAGAAGAGCCCGAATGATAACACCGACATTGAGCTGGTAAAGAATTCGGATGCAGTACTAAGGAAAGTCACAAAATCATTCGGCTGTTTTAAAGGTGACACACTGGGAGTAGATAGCACTGGGGTGGATGAGGTACAAAAACATTACTTGAGGGGAGCGTGGAGAGATGGGACATTAAAGCATTATAACTCAGCAATTGTGAAACTGTTTAGATTCGCAGTGGTGAAGAGGGTAGACAGGAAAGACTTACTCCCAATCTCGAGGGACTTGGTAATGCTGTTTGTAGTTTGGATGTCGAAGAAAGGAGAAGGGTTGGCAAAGGATGATGAATTGCTGAAGTTGTTGACAATAAAAGCTTACCTATCCAGACTACAAGCATGGCACATTTTTCATAACCGTGAATTCCCACATGACTTGGATCTTGCTGTAAATAAACTGATAAAAGCCTCAAGGATGGTCGAAGAACGGTATAAAGAGATTGAAAAGAAGCGACCTCCGGTGTTGATATCAGATCTGGTGACGCTAGCAGAAAACACGGTGATGACAGATGAACGGTCGATTGTAGCAACTACAATAGCTCTTGTTGCCTTCTGGGGAGTAGCTTGTTTAGGAGAGCTGGTGTGTGATGATCCAAAGAAGGTTCAGCCAACCTGGGAGGATGTGGAGTGGGGTCCGAAGGATTCCTATGCGAAGATCACAATTCATTATGCCAAGACTGCTGAACCGGGTGAGACTCAATACATTCACCTACAGGATCAGAAATCATGCCTGGATCTGGTTAGCGCCCTTTGGTTTCTCTACAATGTCAGACCTAGAAAGCAAGATGACCATGTCTTTGCGATCAATCGAGGAAATGAAACTGGTTTAGTATATAGGAAAGCTGTGTTGATAGAGAACTATAGAAAGATATGGAACTCAACTCAATCACCTAGAAAGAAGCTGCTATACGGCCACTCATTCAGAATAGGCGGTGCTTCACTTAGATGGAATCTGGGAGCGTCCAGAGAGGAAGTGAAGGAGCTGGGAAGATGGTCATCCGATGCATTTAAGATCTATTTAAGAAAGTTTGACAAAAGTGAATTGAAACAGATGGTGAAGTTACTGAATGAGCTGAAGTTCAATTGAAATCATTACTTATTGTATGTACAGTGGTGATGATGAGGCTTTAGGAGTATGGATACAGGTGATTGGCGTCTTGAACTAAAACTCTAAATTTCAGATTGAACTGAGGAGACCAACATAGGAGCGGTCCCGAGAGTTTCCTAATTCGAGTGACCAAATGGGTCACTCCTGAGAGCTAGCCTTGTATATGAGCACAGTTGGAAAGCATAGTTTAACAACTGCTGTTGTTTGGGTGATGGAAGATACATTAGGTATCAAGGGGGGATTAGGCAGAGCAATTCTAGACACTCCTGCGAGGAGAGGGTTTGGGGGTTTCGACTTCCCAGGCTCACGGCTCTACCCACCGTGAGTGATGGGGTTGAGAAGTCTATGGCTCCTCAGGCGCTGTCCTCGTCCTGAAGGTAGAGAAAAGGGGTTGGATGGTACCGACCCCACGGATTTCCCTACCTTTGGGCCCACCCTCAAGCCACAACATGTAGGATGCTGGCACCTCTCTGTAGGGCAGCAACCTAGGTACGTGGTAGGACAGTCCTGTGTTGCAGACACAGAGTTCATATCACATGTAACTAGTCTAGGTCACCTAGGTGCACTGGACTCGTAACACCCCTCTAGAGAATGGAAACATGGTTACAAAGCCAATGCGGTAGACGGGAGTCCTGTAAAAAGGTTGTATTGGATCAACCCAACCGTCAAGAAAAAATGCAAGGTGTGATGATTCCAATATGACGTACACACATTTTTGGTAACACATGTTTGGGCGGACCTCCAAGGTACACATACAGAAGTTGCATCTGTCGCAACTTCTGTCTTATTGTGCCTAGCGGACCTTTGAAGATGGGCCTCTCCTTGAACTTGAATTGCAACCTTGGCCTTCTTGGGTGGGAGAGTTTGCGTTTGTCGGTTTAACAGTGAAATATCAACATGTTTGTTGTAAAGTCCAACTTACCTTTGAGGAGACTTGGATTGGAGAAATTGGGGTGTTTTCATCCCGGTGATGGGCCAAGGGAGGTGGTAGCAATGATTCCAGCAAGAAGCTGCCATCACCTTTGTCAGCCTCACCAATAGTCGATAGCTGATCTGTGTTGCTGAGGTAAATATTGGTTGTTAAAGGCTAAAGAGAAAACGAGTGGTTGGTGTTGGATACTTGGCGTGATGACCGAACAAACAACTAACCTCAACTACTGTGCTCGCAGTGTGGGTGGTGGGGAAAAGTGTAGGTGAAGGCTGGTATACATATTTGATGTGTTGGTCAGTAAGGACCAATCCTTCATGAAATTTTGGACATTTCACTTACCAAACAGTCGCTGTCTGGAGCAGGCTCCAACTCGTAGTCTACCAAAGGGTCATGGCCTACTGAAGTTTTGAGGGTGTCTTGAATGTCTTGTGATTGATGCACCGGATGGGATTCGGGCAAAGGCACGGGTTCTGAATTATAAAAAAGATCCGGGGCCTGTGTTGGGGGTGAGGGTAGTGGAGGTTCTTTCTTAACTCTTTTGCGTTTCTTCTTAACAATCAAATGTACCTCTTTGTCTGTCTGCTGAGTGTGGGTGTTTAGAACAGGGTATGATGTCGATGTGGTAATGGATTGATCGGGATCTGGAGACCAAACTGCTTGAGAGTGAGGAAAAGTAGAATGTGACAAAGGTACAATGTTTGAAGCTCGCAGTTGAGGTTGGGGTAACGGTGGGTTAGTGTGTTCTTCACCTGGTGAAGTGAGGTGCGAGGATCCTATGACGACGTTGGGTGGGAAGTGATTGGTCGTTGAGGTTGGAATGGGTGAGTTGGGGGTTCAATATTTAGCAATGACCGCTTCAATCTCAGCGAGGGCAACGGACCGAAGAGCTTCTGGAAGCCGAGATAACTGTTGTGATATCTAGAGCAATAGTGTGGGTTTGATATGTCAATAGAAGTAAAAAGGTTTGTTAAGAGATTGGACTCACCACAGCTGATCGCTGCTTGATGACTGTCAACGTGTCGACACGTGAATCGGTTGTTGGCTACAACATTAGGAGATTTTGATTTAATACACCGTAGGACATAGAATTCGAAAGATTGTTAGAATTGTACCAAAGATCCAATTGGTTCATGGTTGTGAGTGGGATTTTTGATCTTGATGATCCAGCACCCAACCGGAGGTAGTGATTTGGAGGTATCCTCATTTTTTACTAAAGCTTGAAGATAACTTGGAACATTGGGAGCAAGGACCTTAGATATAGTGAAGGCAAATGGACAGTCGGTTTTGCAGGAGGAGGAAGTGTTGGTTGGTTTATTTCCTGATTGTTGACATTCATATCAGACGCTGATGGTTTCTAAGTTTTGTTTGTCTTTTTCGGAAGATCATATGACAAGTTTGTATCCATTGGTGACAGCATGCTCTTTGAGTATTGTTTGCATTGCTGTTAAAGATGGTGCGGTAAGGTCATGTGGCGGAGGTTGAAGGAGGGTATTATTGTTGGTTGTGGTCATGTTGAAGGTTAACTTAGCGAAGTGGGTCTTTGGTCCGTTGATCAAGCTGGGGTCTATTGTTTAACAGTGGTAGGGTTGGGGTGTAACATGTGCGGGTGGGGGTATTTGTGTGTAAGGTGCAACTGGGGTTGTCTGGTGTACCGAGTTTGAAATTTGGGAGTTAGGGTAGGTTTTGACTGGCGTGGTGAGGATGGATGTGTGTAGCATCAAAAGGTATTCGTGAGGTGTGATATTAATGATAAGGTGGTGGGTTTGTGTATGAGGTGGTGGGTGATTTTACAATGGTGGTATGTTTTGAGGTTGTCTTGGTATACAGATTTCAGATCGAGTTTGGTATTGGATGGGGTGGTGGGAAATGTATACAGTGGTGGACTACTTGTAGGGTGGTGTTGTGTGCTGTGTGGGCACTCGAGGCTGGTGTGGATCTCCTTAAGGGAAAATGGGACTGAGCCAAATTTGGAGGTCACCAGGATCCTTCTTAAGATGATGCATAATCTTGGCAGGGGAGGTCGAACCCCATTGGGTCATACAGACGTCTGTATGGCCCAATGGTACAGGGTACAAACATAACTGTACAGGTGTCAATTTCATAATTTGGGTGGACATCCTGGGCTATGCAATTTCACAGGTTACACAAAATGGCATAATACACCATAATGCACAATTGTATGCAAAAAGGCAAAATTGCATAAATATATGCAATTTTGCGGGTAGGGTTATATTTTCCTTGGGAAATATAGCTTTTGCTGGGAGTGTTAGGGGCCTGAGCTCAGGGCTTTGGTGTTGTTCAGGGATCATGTATTATGATTATGATGTGGCTCAAACAGCGGAGTGGGCATTGTATCTTCATGTTTGTAGTGTATAACTCATATATCTTACATTGATATCAAAGACATTTCAAGGTCATTTGAAGAAATCAGTAATACAGGCTTGCTTTTTTGCTGAATGTGATCTTGGACTTGAACATCTCTATATATTTCTGTAAAGGTTAATTCAAGTTGAGACCTTCAGCTAGTTCAGTACCTTCCATGTGATTGATGACAAGAGACAAAGCTGCTAAGGTTTCAGCATCTGTAGGGATGGGTCTGGAATCAAGTTCAGGTTCAGCTTCCTCTTGAGGTGTGTTGACTTGATCAAATAAATCCTCAGCAGTTGAGTTTTCATGGAACGTGGGGGTTTTTTCTGCTGCATTCAATAGCTCCACAATTGACATTTGATTCATTGAAGAGAGTAGACTTACATCTTGAAGTTCTTGTAGAGTTTCCTTGAATTCCATCTCAATCTGAGTTGGTGCTTAATTGATGTTCAAAATCCTATGATTCAGGGAAGAGTTGTTGATCAGTAGATATTCATACATGTGACAGAGAGACTCCAAACTATTCTGACTTGATCTCATCCTCAAACTTAATGATACCACTGTGACGCCAGCAGTTTTGGATTGTATCAGAAGTCACTGAGTGCCACGCATGTTCAGCAAGCTGAGTGGCAGTGAGGATATCAATATCATACACTTTGGTGTTTTCAACAGTGTTGTTTAAACATCAAAATGCACAGACAAGGAATTGTTTACGGTAGTGAGCCTTGAAGGCTTTGATGATACCAGTATTGAGTAGCCAAACATGGGCTGTAAGGTTGTGTGAAAAAAACACAAGTCAGATATTGGTGAGTTGATTCTGTTCAATCTTATGACCAGCAAAGTTATCAAGTAAAAGCAAGTCTTGTCAGCTTGGAGATGTTGGTCCCAGGCACAAATCCACATCTCAAAAATAAAAGAAATCATCCATGATGTTACATTGAAATAATAGTCAATTCCCAGACTGGCTGGGGTCTTTTTGTTGAAGCATCAAGGTGATTTCCATCAACCAATAAAGGTAAGATGTCACTTGTTGGATCCATCAGCATTACAGACGCACACAACAGTGATCCTGGCTTTTGAGCCTTTTGCACCAGGAGTGCTGACACTTGCTAAGCCTTGGTCTGATGGCATCCTGTGTCAGACCCAGAAGGAGTGTGAGAAGACATGTGATCAAAGGAAGAGACAAAAACAAGCCAGTCTTGTCCATTCTGGAAATCTGTGCTTATTGGCTACAGAGATCTGGTTTTCAAAATTTAACCTATGCATTATCATTTTTGCCATAATTATGCAATAAACCTAAATCTTGGCAAGCCCTGACCTATGTAAAATGACTGAATATGCAATTGCACAGGTTTGACTGTATTCCTTTCTTTGCTTCCTATTGTCAAGTGCTGCATCATATCTGTAAAACATATGTAATCAACCTGTAACAATTTATTCATCACTTGTTTAACACTGATACCTTGCTCAATAACCCTGCTTATTGACACAAAGAAAAGAACAAAATAACATCCCTCAGCGCCACCCCACACCCAGACTGCTCACACATTCCATTGACCCAGTCCTATCATCAAGACAATCAAGACTCTTGATTTTCAAAAACACCAAAAACATAATCAAATTTTCACTCAATTTAAAGAAAATCATAAACCTCAAACAATTTTTTTTCAAAAAAGTGAAAAAGTAAACAAAAGCAAATGAGAGTAAAAACTGAGAATTTTTTGAAAGATGAAGATAAAGAAGAAGAAAACACAATCTAACCCCCCCTGAGGATTGATTCCCATTCATTCTATCAAAAAAAAACCTCCCCTCTTCTAAACCTCCCATCCTTCTTTAATTTCTCACCAAAATGCAAACAAAGAAAAAGTCCAATATACAAAAAGGAAAGAGAAGATACTCTTTATTCATTGATTCATTCATTGGTTTGTTTAATAAACCATTAAAATGCATTAGCACCAGAGTTTTCATATCTTCGGAACTATTCAAACAAAAAGAAAGATCAGTTCATCAGATTTCTAAAAAAAATTACTCAAGAAACTCTGAAAGAAACCAGACGAACTGTATAACCCAAGAAAGCTAAATCTTTACTACCACTATCAGTATCAGCACCAACTGGTTCAGTAGGTACATCATTCAAATCATCAGTAGGGAAATAACTAGTATCTGTCACCGATCTGAAAAAAAAACATAAAACACAAGTTAAGAAACACATTATCAACATTCATCAAGGATTCAATGTGAAAGTTAAATGAAAAATCATCACTCACTTTAAGTGTGGTACGAATGGAGCTTCGATATTACGGATCGTAGGCCAATCAACACCCGAGAAAAACGTATGTTGTTTAATCTCTTCAGCACCATTTCTACCTAATCGATTATCAGCAGCAGTGATCATCCTATCACAACCCCAAACCAAGCAAAAAACTCATCAATATTCAAGAATAAACGATCAAAACAATGAAAAAAATCAATCAAGTTAAGGAACCCACTAACCTTCTAATCAAATCTTCACTCTCACGTGAAAGATGAACATCATCAGGAAAATACAATTCATTTCTCCAATCGATAATCTTTCGATAAGTTTCATGAGCCGAAGGCGAACAGAACGGAGGATATCCCACCAAACATTCAAACATGATCGCACCTAAACTCCACCAATCACATTCTTTACTATAACCTTGTTGTAAAAAGATTTCCGGAGCAATATAATCCGGTGTTCCTACAGTAGAATAAGCTAATTTACGTCGATTGGCTTTCCAAGTAGCGATTTGATCTTTGGATGAAACGGTCAAGTTGATAGATGAGATCGCTACTGAGTTTCGGTTAGGAGGTGGGGCTGAATTGCTAGAGGAATCTCCATCTAATAATCTTTGATAGTATGCTGAATCATGTTGTTTATGAAACCCAGTAGAAAGTCCGAAATCAGATAACTTCACATGTCCATCTTTATCGATCAAAATGTTATCTGGTTTGATATCCCTATCCAAAAAAAAAACAAAATCCAAAATCCAAAAACCCACTCAGAATCATCAAGTCAAATCGCGAATTTAGTAAGAAAGAAAGTCAAGTACCGATGAATAAATCCTAGTTTATGAACCGCTTCTAATGCCAAAACACATTCAGCCATATAGAACCGAGTGACATCTTCACTAAAGGTATCATATTTAATTAACATCGTCATCAAATCACCTCCTGGTAAGAATTCCATCAATAAATAAAGATATTGTGAATCTTGAAATGAATAGTATAATTGAACGACCCAAGGCGAATCAGATTCAGCCAAAACATCTCGTTCAGCTCTAACATGTGCTAACTAATGGTACCAAAGCAAAATCATTCCAATCGATCAATCTTTCAATCTGAGTTGAAAAATAGAACAAACTGTTGAAACTCACTTGATCTTTTTTAAACATTTCAGATTTTCTTAAAGTTTTCATAGCATAAATCTTAGCCGTATCTACTTTTTGAACCAATCTCACTTCTCCAAACGCTCCTTTTCCAATCACTTTCACCGTTCTAAAATCAGCTAAACCTAATCTAGTTCTTCTCAATCTTAAAAAACTAGATTCAGTTCTACCCAACGTAGCCAACTGTCTATGTTTTCTTTCTTCTGTCATATTAGGTTCTGATGCGATTTTCTTTTCGACTTCTTGTCGTCTGTTTTTCCAAAATTTCAAAAAAAAAAAGTATATCTTAGGATCATCATCGATCGAGGGTAAGGAGAATCGGTTGGTTACCTTTGGTTACGTTCGATGGCTTCTTCAACCGCTTTACGATAGATATGTTCAATCTTTAACTTACAAGCCGTCGTTTTCTCTGCAGTAGTCTTAGAGAATTGAGACGGGATACGTTGAAAATAGACATAACTAAGAACCCAAGTGATAGATCAGATCAGATCAGTTGATCGAAAAGTGAATCAGATCGAGTGATCGGACATCACTTACTCTTGTTCTTTAACTTGACCAGATCCATTGTTTTGAGGAGAAGGAGGAGGAGGCATCATTTGAGTTTGAGGAGAAGGTTGTGGTTGAAGTTGTTGTTGATAAAGTGCAAGTTGTTGAGGAGTAAGATGTCTTAGAGCAGCTTCTTGTTGAGCACGTTGAAGTTGTTGTAAGAATTGAGGTGAAACGTTTTGGTTGTATGGATTAGATTGACTTGAAAATAAATTAGATTGGTTCGAGTTATTATTATTTGGATTCATCATCAAATCAAATCAAATCAGGAACTCCTCTGTCTCAGTTTGGACTCTGACTCTCATCGATCTTCAAATTGCATAAATTCATCATCTTCATTTCAATTTCCTGCTAATCTTAAAGTTCATAACTCAAGAAAATACTTAAAATTTTGGTTTCTTCAATTACCCTATTTCTAGGCTAGATCCCTAAACTGATTTCTATTGATTTCATGAACTCAATTGATGTACAAATTGGTCACATCATAGCTAAATTTGGTATCTCCACTCATGTTCAACTCCAAGCTTTAAAGACTCTGGTTTAGGACCCTGGCTTTATCCTATGGATGCATCTGATCTGAAATTCAATGTTTTTTTTGGATGTTTATGGGTCATGGACGCGCTACACTGTGGTTTTATGATGGCTGCACTTTCAGCCCTGTAGCACCACTTGTTTGTGAGATATCCTAATGTAACTGCCAAAATCCAATGAGTGGTTTTGGACTCCGGTCAAGAAAAAAAAATCACCTTTGGGTGTTGTGCAGCAGTGAGCCACACAGCGTAGCTACAACCAAGCTCATTAGATAGCCCCACCACATGTGCATCTTTTCTAGTGCTCAGGAGATTGACGCCAGGTGTATGAAGTATTTTTCCAGAGTGAAAAATGACTGACCTGAAGGAAAGATGATTGAAAATGGCTCAACTCTGCATATATTCTGCATGTGCATCAACACAGCATTTTTAATCATTTTTGACATCAATGTAAATCATTTTTCAGAGTAGAAACATTCTTGATGTGCGCAGTGTGAAGAAGTGGGTGATGTGTAGTTCAGAGCTCAAAACCAATGACCAGATCAGATCAGACACATCCATAGGGGAAAGTCAGGGTCTTCTCTGGTTCTCAAGCCTTGTTCACACAGTTAAGTATTACAGTGATCATTAAAGACAAGTAAATATTTTGTGTTACCTTTTGTTGGTGGCCAGTCCTGCTGAATGATAAGAGTCTTGATAATCACTAGGAATCTGTTTTGAGATCAAAAGACAAAGAATCTGTTCTCTACTTCAATTTTCAAGATATGTGTTCTGCTTCAGCTGCATGGAAAAATAAAACCATACCTTAGAGACGCAAAATAGCTTCAATGTAGCCATAGAAAGTCAAGGTTCTTTACACTATGTTCAGTCTTTAACAGGATCCAAGATTGGATCCCATATGTGTCTTCATATACTACCAATTACATGAATCAACCCCTACAGACTTTCCAATTTTGTGATCTTTCAGCATGTGTTCTTGATAAAAAGATCCATCAGATTCACAGTGTTTGCCATGCACCTATAGCACAATCCCCTCCAAGTCCAAGTGGTGTATGTAATGATTCCAGTTCTCCAGAGGCAATGCCAGGTTCTGTCCCAACCCCAGTGATTACAAATCCTAGGTGCGGGGACGTGTACAAGACACTAAAGACTAATGAATGAGAAATGAATCTAAAAACTTAAATTCTTGACTTCTTTTTGAATACCCCCATCAAGATCTTCTCAAAATTCCTTCTTTTTATGCAAATCAAACCACTTGTTTTTACTTTTTTTTTCTGTTTGAATTCTTCATGTAGTTTGAACAACTTTGGAGGGTTAAATGTAAAATTACTGATCAACTATTTATCAGTCTTTGGTGTCTTGCACAATAAGTTGATCATTGGGTACAACTAGCCATACACCACCTCTCACCATGGCTTGGGCTGCCCACATGAAGTTCCACAGGTACCTGGCATACATTGGATAAGGACTCTCTGAGTAATAAGTACTTTTCAACAATTATGGTATACAAATATTGTTCTGGAAAACTATGTTTCTGTGAACAAGGTTCCAATTTTTGTTGCAGTCATGTACTCAGGATTCTGGTATTCTGGACTGCTGGGGTGTTCAACCTTCCAGAACACCAGAATTCCAGATACCATTATAATTTTCCTTTCTGATGTTCTGGGAAAAATCTTTTGGAAATTTCCAGAACAATATTTGTATACCATAAATGAAGCACATAAATCACTTGTACAATGAAAACAAAATGCATTTCACTCCCCATGAGGACATGTGATGTTTGCCACCAAGAAATGTGTTAAGCAGAGCTCACAGGGACATCAAAATCTAGGGCAAGGAGATTGTTCTACCTTTTGTATGCCCTCAGGCAACACACCTCATGAACTTGTTGAAAAGAAAAGGCAACTTCTGACGTTTGAAACCCTAGACAAGTGTGGAAATTGGAGACTAAAGAGAGAGGAATAAAAAGTTTCAAAAACCAAAAACTGAATTGATAGATTATGGAGAGTAAAGTATAGTCTAGTCTTTATCTTCCTTGATACATTGAAGCAAACACTCCTCATCTTTTCTCAATCTTTATTGCACATACTTGAGATCTACATATCCGGTCACACCCTTCTTTATGGCTCCTTTGGAAGAGTTATTTTGCCAACCATATAGTTGTCAGAGTCATGAACCTGTACAACTTTAAAAGAGAGTGTTTCTCCCTCATAGGGACCAACTTCTGCTCTCCAGTGAAATGTGACCCCATCAGTGTCAATCACAACTATGTTAAGGAGATCAGGTAGCATCAGATCATTGATTACCAAGTTTTCATTTTCTTCGGGAATTATTAGAAATATTGAAGTGTCTTACTTAAAGCTGGTGTTTCAGCCTGGACCAAATCTGCATATTTGTGTGACACCGCTTCTTTGATGAGATCTAGTGTTCACAAAAGAAAGATGATGAGTTTGAGGAACATTCTGCAATTTGATAATCTTGGCTTCAATGGGAGGTCCAAGTTCATGTCAAACTTACTGCTCTTTTTAACCTTTGACCCTTCACGACGTGTGACTTCCACATCCTTGCGAAGACTACTCGTGATACTAGCTTTGAGTTCTGGGTCTTCCGCTCCTTGTGCCATATACTTTGCAAATGTGGTAGCAAATGTTTGCATCGCGTCAATATCTGCCCCACGACCAAATTAGTTTATCAGCTGCAGCTTGAGAAAATTTCAAATCCAAGTCGTATTCCAGAACTCACCGTGGTCTGATTCTGAGGCACCACTTACCACCTGTATGCTGGTTGATATAGATGGCACAATTAATGAACAGAAAAACAAACTCAAGAACAGCTTTACAATCATTTTGAAAGAAAAGCAAGAATGGAATTGATGGGTGTGAAGCCTAAAGACTTTTGCTGCAAAAAGATATTACCATTAAAAAATCAAAGCGGAAAGTGTCCGATGAAATAAGTCCCGCTCTTATTATCTGGTTGAGTATCCACCACAAAGTTATGTGCCACTTCACCAAGTGGCAAATTATCCTTGTCAGTGTTGTTTGATGGGAGGTCCAATATAAATAACCCCGTGATTCATGACTCGTAGTAAGGCTGCGTCAAGCTTTATCTTTAGGAAATGGATATTTGTTTCTTTTATTCGGGTTCCAAATCGTGTAGCCTTAGGTGATCGGAGCAAATCGCTTATAGAACCTTTGTACACATTTTTTAGCATTCGGCAGCGCATCAGCGCAAGAGAGTCAAAGATGCAGAGGTTTGGCGCAGCCGACGTCCGTGGTAATGAGGCGCAGAAGTTCGGCAGATGTTTTAGCTGGGAAGATAGAGGTGGTCAGAAACTGAGACAGGGTTTTTGCACGCAGGTGGTTATTCATAAAAAGTCAATGGTGTGTGGGGCGGCAAAACACCAGCGGAGAAAGGTGTGGATAATGTGTAGGAATGTCTACAAAGGTCAACACAATAAAAAAAGATGCCGGAAACATTGAGGGAGAAACAGGACCACAGATGATGAGGCCTGTCAAGTGCTGCGCTGGAGAAGATCCAATGAACGTTGAACAATCAAAGAGAGATATTCGCACAAGAACCCTGTTATAGTGCAAAGGTCTCGGGATGGAAACCAACGTTTGAAAGACTAATTTGGCCAAATTGCGTGTATAGATAGCTGCTAGGATCGAGGGGCAAGACTCGTCGGAATATACACTGCGGAAAGATAACAATCAAAGGTCAGAATTTGTAACAAAAGCGTGGAATGGATAACAAATGTCGGGATGTGAATTTAAGTTTGGAAGACTATTCTGAAAACAAGCTCGTACTGGCCGGCCATTTCGCGGGTAAATATCGGGAATCAAGAGGTAAGAGTCATTATTGGAGGAGTGCGTATCCTGGCTGTGTACAGTGCGAAAAGAGACTTCAGCTGGTTAGGTTTGAGCGTGTGATCATCAATTTGGTATAAGACAAAGACTGCTAGTAGTAGAGGTGTTGTATCCTGATGGTCAAGATGAGAATTTTTTGGTGACCTCAGTTCTAATGGGACAGTAGTTCCAAAGCACAATGGGCTCAAGACAACAAAGGATTTTGGTGAATATTCACAACAGGCGTTTTTTTGATCAAAGCCTTATAGGCCACAATGACATATAAGCCTGTGACATGGTCTTGTACAACTCATTTCTGATATATCTCACTCAAAGCTGCCTACCAGAGGAGGCAATTTTGTGGCTATCTTCCATTTAAACTTTTGCAGTGGACAGTATTCCGTTTTGCAAAATTTGCTCCCTTGATTTTATGGTTGTTCTCTCTGTTCACAGAGTAGGTAGGAGTCAGGACATCACATCCTGGGTTCCTTATCATACTTGAGAGACAATCAATCCCTCTTTAGAGCTTGGAAGCTGAGAAGACCGTGCAACATGAACATGCTCGAAGCAAGGCTGATTCTCAGGGATGAAACATCAAGCCGCATGATATCAGTATGGTATTTGATGGATCTATAAGAACTAAGTGAAGGCTGTCTAGGCTGTTGATACCTTTGAGACGAACACTGTGACAATGAAGACCTTGAATGCCTCTTCATCTTTAGTCATGACTTTCCAGGTGAAGGATAACAAAATTCTAGATTCAATCTTGATACTTTACTTCTCATAAAAATAATTTCATTTTTTGAATGCGAAATTTTCTAACTCGCTGCTCCTCCTCACAGCACCTATTTAAAATAATCGGTCTTTGAGGTTCATCCGTCTAATCCTTCCAATGAGAAGTCAGCCTGCAGTCCTTTGTTAACCTTCTTAGGGGGTGTTTGAGTATATTCCTGGTATCTCTATCTCGACAATTTTGATGTTGTTAGAAATGTGGTCGCCGTTAAATTTGAAAGACAGGACTTTATTGCCCTTTTTCCAGCGACGGATGAGCCCGCTCTCCTCGACTACACCTATGTTTTCCAGATGAGCATAAGGTTCCTGAGTGTCATGATTTCCTCGGGGAAAGTCAGAGGTCTCGCAGCATCTTACGTTCAAATGGCTCCTTCACGATGTGTTCGTATCTGAAAGCCTTTGCATCGTCAAGAAAGTCTAGGGTTTGAAAAGAAAGTTGATAAGCCTGGGGCAGGATCTGAAATATGACAACCTCGACTTCGATGGGAGTCCCAGGTGTGTTGATCATGAAAAACATACACTTTTTCTCAATCTCTTTTCCTTTGAATTTGACTATCACATCAGGGGCCATCCAACTATTGAAGCTGGCTTCTGGGTCATTCCATTGGTGTTTCATAAACTGCGTGACATAATCAGCGGTATCATCCATGGCCTTCATTTCTACCCCGTGCCCAGGTTGATTTATCAACTGTACATTCAGAAACGTTCAAATCTGAGTAGTATCTAGGACTCACTCTCTGCTGTAAAAATGGAGGACACATATGACACGAGTATTGAACAGAAAATTGTACTCAAGAACAGCTTCGTCATCATTTTGGGAGAAAAGCAAGAATGGAATTCCCGAGTGTGAAATTGAAGAGGTATACTGATAGAATGAATCACCAACAAAGGACAAAGCTTGCAAGCGTCCAATGTGATACAACGGGCTCTTTTTATATTGCTCCCTGTCCACCAAAGTATTAGGGACCACTCTACCCATTTGATAAATCATCCTTGCAAGTGTTGTCTGACATGAGGTGGATTACAAACACATGATAAGAAACACATGATAATTGTCTCGTAGTAAGGTTGAGTCGAGCTTAATCTATACCAAATTTAACTCCTTTTTAATTGGGTACATGGTTGTGCGGGAAATCGAAGATAATCGCAGATATCAAACATTTGGGGTACTTCCGATAAGTGCGATTTTTTTTGACAAATCACCGTCGCAGCAGAGGAAACTCCGCAAAGAAATTGTATGCGAGTCGCACTCAGGTAGACGACTTCCGGAATGATCAGGCCCAGAGGGTGTAAACATGTTTTGGCCGAGACAAAAAAGTTGGTCAACTAAAACATGGGTTTTGCACGGCTGTGGGCTTTCCAAACAATAGATTAAACCTTTCCGGAGTGGCTGATTCCAGCGGGGAAACGCGTTGCGCCTGAGAGGAAACGTCGCTAAAGGCCGACAGAACAACGCCAAGATGAGAATCATTGGAAGAGAAACGCCCCGAAAGATGAAGCCGATCAAGTCCTGCGCTGGAAATTTTTTGATGAACTTTACACAATCATAGATAGATCTTTGAACAAAAACCTCTGTCATAGTACACAAATATAAGGAAATGAATGAAATTTTAAACATGTATTCCGGACACACGTGCGGGCTAGTCGGCTGTCCCGCGTGTAGATAGCTGCTGGAATCAAACGAGAAGACTCGTTATCAACAGAGGGGTGGGTACTTATCTTGGTTGGATACACTGTGGAAACACGCCGTTTCAGAATCCAAGGCATCATTGGATGCAGATCTGGGGACAGATATTGTCCAAGGATTTGAGTCTGATGGGACCTCAGATTGAAAAATTTGAGGTAAATTTATTGGCTGTGAATATTAATGGTGTACAGACTTGATTAGATTGGAGTACACTTGCTGAGCAGCACTTCCAACAAAGATGCCTTGGGTTGAGAAATCCAAAACACCATCAGAGACAAATCCTTGGTCAGACCTTCACCAAGGTCTGGAAGCCAATACTACCTGAAATTGAAAAATCAAAGGCAAATATGTTGGCAGTGCAGGTAGCTCAACTCGGGAGTGCTCTGGAACAGGTATATCTGTACTGTGGCTGTGTTGTTTCTAGAGTAGCCTGAATATTATGAATACAATCCCAACAATCCATGACTAATAAGGAAACATATATATTTGCTTGCCACTCATATCTCATAATTACATAATATTAATTCCTAACCATATTTGACTTTAAGTCATGGTTTCCAAAAACAAAGCATGATATGATAGGGACTGGGCAAGGTTTTGATGGACAGAGGATTTAGCCACCTCAATAAGCGCATGAATCGCTTGGAAGCTGACCAAAGTCATTTATGCCAACAGGCACAGTGCCCGTTGAAGGAGTCCTCGACGTCAAGGTCACAGTGCTAGCTGATGTTTCGCTCGCAATTGAACTGTTTTCGAACAATATCCATGTTCAGCGTCTACTGAGGACAACGGCTTATGCAGTCAAAACTTAGCCTTTGACTTAAAATCAACACCTACTGAGTGTGACGGTTGACCAAGCATTGATGCTGAGACTATGATGAACTTAGCAGCTGATCACGTGTATGTACATACATAGTCACTCATTTTCAAGACTATTGATCAACGTTGAGAATCAGAATCAGACTTCGACCAATAAGCTCATTACGACATTGATCAATCCTACTACTCAAGCTGATTCTCTTCAAGAACATCACCATCATCAAAGACTTTCCATTGGGAGCAAACCTGATTCAAGGAAAGACATCAAACGATTTCAACAATTCACAACTCATCTCAATCGAATTCAGAACTGTTATCTTCATCAAGTGCAAATCATCGAAGTATGTCGTATCATCAAACTGACTATAATCAACTTCGGAAGCATACTCCACTTCAAGCACCAGAAAACTCCTTTGATATCTCTGAGCCTTTGTCTCTATTTGTTCTGTTATCTTTCCTAACTCGGATCAAGTTCCAACCCAATCTGTCATCACTTTAGATCTATAAGAGCAGGTGTTATCTTTGAGCCTTTGTCTTTGTTTGTATGTTTTGCAATGAATTCAGGTAACAAAGGATTGTTGATCCCAAGACCAATGGCTTTACTTCGAAAGTTTCCGAATCCAGCTCTTGATGCTAAACAGGTGATCATGTTGATCAATGTCTTCATACGCGATTCATCAGAGTGACTACACAAAAAACTAGTTTGTTATTTTTCTTTTATTGAACCTTCCATAGTCGGGTTGAATCTTCTTCATGTGAATAAAAGATCTTTTCTTATACATTACTACCAAGTAAACAAGGCAGCTGGATATGAAGTTGTATTTTGTATAACAGTTCTTTATTACAAGACAACACAATATTGTTTTTTGCTTGTTTGTATGAAACCCTTTTTTTTGTCCTCGTTCTGGTCTGTTCAATTTTGTTTGAGCGGCAGAGCAACATATTTTTTGTTATTTTTGTATAGAAACGCTTTTTAAGCAAGATAAACAAGAGAAATTTCACACTCTGACATTCACCCAGATGTGCAGATGTACGTAGCACGTAGTCTATAGGCTAAGATCTTTATTACAGATGCTCAATACAAAGTGGTTTGAAGCTTGAAGTGGACAAGTGAAGCAAACAGGGGAGCTACATTATGTTTAAAGACAACAACAAAACAACTATGAAGTGCACTGACCCGATAAAACAGCAAAACAAATTGCTTTGATAAAAAATCAAACTCAAACTTGAGTGGGAACTGAGTAGTTTGGCTTGGAGTCCCTGACGGTAGGTGAGCACTCAGGGAGAAGGGGCTGAACAACTTTGAGTAAGAGTAAAGTTACCTTTGTTTGTCTCTGAGCGAAACCTGGCCTTTGTTCGTGTTTCTCAAAGACATGTGTTACATATGCGAACAAAATACGAACAAAATTACACCCTAGCTGTGACCTCAACGTTGAGGACGCATTCAACGGGCACTGTGAGGAGGTGTCACAATGTCTCCTGCAAGCCCAAGAGCCCCGACTTTCAGATGATTTCACCAAAACCAAAGCCAGAGCAACCTGTGAAAGGTATATCAGGCTGTCCAGAAGCGTTCTGCCATAGGCTTTTGGCTGAGGTGGGAGGGGCAAATTTGAATACACAGCTCGTCTTAAGGAGGGTCATGGCTGTGCGCCACCCTATTTTCTCTAGTGCCATAAAGCTTACTAAAAAAATAGGGAAATTTTATATTGATTGAACAGTGGCTTAACTGTTTGCAACTTGCTTTCAACTACATTTGAGTTACAATTTTGCAGAGCTTTGCCCAGTCCCTGATGTCCAGTGTACCATGCATATGTATTTGATTATTAAAGTTCTGTGAGCTTCTTGACCTTCAGCATCATGAACATCTGTTTTCTGAATACAAGAATCTTATCATGTCCATATGCCAGTCACAATTTTCTTAAATAAATCACATTGGACTATGTTTGTGGCATGAAACATATACAAGTTGCTACTAAAGACTTCTTAAGCAAACCCTACAAAATACTCCAATGAACTTCATTTATCATATGTGATCATCATCCAGACAATTCCATATACATAAACTCAAACCCCACCTGTGTTTCTAAAGCAAATCATTACCATATGTGCAGGGATGGCTACAGGCACTCGAATAGATATATGTAAGCAAAAGTCCAAGGCAATAGAAAAGAAAGCCCATTGACAAACAATTTACATTTCCTGACCAAATCTAAAATGCCTTATCATCTCCACTTCAACTTTTCAAAAAACCAATCACAAAGACCCTTCAATTTATCTTGCCGCTACTACAAGGGGGGAATGCTTATTGTATAGGTAATCTAAGGAGAAGGTTTATTGTAAACTTCTCACATGTACTATAACTTGATTGAATTCAATACATTATAATTAAACTTAATGCATTATAGGAAATCCCTTATCTGATTCTTGCAACCTGTAAGGTAGTTGTCTAAATTAAAATACAAGTCAAGTAAAACTACTTTTGCAGGTGTGGGGGTAGACCCAGAAGGTTTACCCGGTTATTGGAGTAAGCTCGTATTCCTCTTTAATGGGTACCCATTCTGTGGCAATCACAATAAACCCTTGGGGGGCCTTCTCATCCAGGAGGTGAGAGGGTGAAAAAAAGGAAATGAGTTGTGGTTTCAACTCAATCAAGGAGGGTTCCAGCACTAGAGGTGATGGAGTTCAGAGTGGGTGGTGTTGAAGTTGAAAACTTCAACACCAATACATTACCACTCAAAACGTCTGAGGGTATCCGAGTTATAGTACCTGGTACTCATGATCCCATGGCATCCATTTATTTACCTCTAATACCAGAAACTAGTGCCTTCCTCTACAATTTGACTGAAGGCTACTGGCACAAGCTATGAGCATCCTCTTATCTTATCCTGTGAAATGATCCAAAGAAAAAAATTATGAAACCCAAATGATACTCAATAAAGGTTACTTTTTTAAACACAAAGGTTCTCAAAGGTAAACCCTTGAGGGGAGATAAATCGATTAACATTTCTGCATAACATCTAAATAATACTAAAATAAGAAAAACTCTGTTACTTCCAAGAGAAAAAAATCTAGAAAGATAAAAATCTAATACTATTTGATTATTTTAAAACCTTTGATACTTGTTAGGAAAAAATGGAAATAGGAATACAAACAAAATGATACAATTTACTGGCTACACAAGAAAAGAAAACAAAGGATGTATTGGAACTCATTTTGAGAGAGTTTTGAAAAACCTTTTATCTGAATTTGAAAAGGGATCAAAAACCAAAAGAACAGTCAATAAATGAAATCATTCACAAGAAAAATAAAGAAATACTCACCTTTCAAAGAGATAAAAAAAGATCAAGCCTTAATTTCGATATCCATTAATTCTTGATCCTTAATGATCCGATGATTAGTTTTAATAATTTGAATAGGATCAAGAAACAAAAGATAATCAGGTAAACAAAATCCTAAATGTTGATTCAATTCTTCTTTTTTTTCATCATGAAATGGTTTGATTCGTTTGTGATTGGTTTCTAGTTGACTTTCAAGTTCGGTTTCGATTTCGAAAGTTCGTTTTGATTTTTTTGATTTTAATGTTGGATGATGATCATGATGATGATTAGGTGTTGAAGTGATTATGATTTCAGGTTTGATGGGTTTTTCAGTCGAATTGATTTCAACAAGATCTTTTTGAATTAAATTCGAACCTGATCCTTCACTTTCGAGTTTGATTTCCTTTTCAATTTCTTCTTCTCCAGTTTGAGTTTGATTTCGATTTTCATTCAATGGTTTAAGAATCACATAAATCTTACGACTGGTTTGATGTTGACTTCTAGTTCTTACCGGCTTGATTTTACTTTCATCTTTAAATGGTCCCCAAGTTAAACCTCTAGGTGAATCAGTTCTGATCGGAAATTCCCAATTAGAATAAATTTTCTTTAATTCTTTTGAATTGATTGGTTTATCATTCTTAATTGAAAGTAAAGGTAAAGGTGAAACCGGTAATGTTGGTAATAAGTCTTGATCTTGATGTTGTTTTTGATTTGAATTTAAACTTTTAGGACTTTTACATTGAAGTTGATCATTTAAATTTTCTATCCTGTTAAAACTTAAATCTAGTTTGAATTTTTTTGAATCTGAAATCATAGATTTAAACCCCTCATGACTATCTTCTTTTATATCACAATCTTGGTTCTCAGTAGAATAAGAAGATCTCCCTATCGAAGGGTTTCCTTTGATATCAGGTTCTGAAGGCTGATTCAATGAGTTTGATTTAAATTGAGATTCTGCGTAAGATGATTTCGAATTAGAATCTAATGATTGACTTGAATTATAATCTGTTTTATTAAGGTGATAGACATTGTGAGATTGATTTGATGATCCTGCTGCAAGTCGATCAAAGTAGTTTGAATGATCCATAGAAGTTGAGTACAATATTCGAATTGGAGAATGAAGGTTTCTTTAGAGACAAGATTGATTGAAAGGTCTGATGGAAGTCTAGATATTAGATTAAAAGAAGATTAATGTTGATTCAATTTGAAGTTGAAGACGATGATAACTGTGAGTGTGTTGGATGAGTTGGACTTTAGGTAGATTGGATGGGTGACTGAGCTCGGAGATAGGGATAGGGAGAGAGGATATGGAATCTGGATTAGCATCAAGATGAGAATGAGAATTCGATGAGTTTGTGATGATTCACTGAATTGTTATGGAGAGAAAGTTATAAAACATGGTCGATGAGTAAATCCATCTTGTCTTCAATTAATCCCTTGATGGTTTCTCATTTAAGCAACCTTTTCAATCAGATATATTTAGAAATCGTTGAAGAACTTCATGAGTTCAAGTTCAATGAGATGTGAAAATCAATAACAAATAACAAAAGTGAAGCAACAAAGTATGTTACTAGCATGCGAGAAAATGTAAACAAGTGCACAATAGATCGAAGAACACCTTAGCAACAAGTCAAGCGAAATACTCACCGTTATGGATCTCGATGCTGTTGTTTTTCACTCAAGCAATCGATTTTCGTAAGGAGAAATCTAAAATGGAGTGCGTTTGGATTACTTATAGACAAAAGATATCACCAAGCTTGCTCAGCATTGTAAACTTCTTTCCATCAGGTCCAAAGTTGTCTTCATTCTTAGTTCCTCTTACAGATACTGAAAGTATTTCGTCACGGCAGGTAGTTTGAAAATAATAAAAGATGGACTCCGAGATTGAACGTGAGAGTGACTGGGAGGAAGGATGATGATGGTAAAGAGGGTAAAGAGACTTCCTCTCGGCCTTGAGTGGTAAACAGAGAATTGAAAGATGATGTCATCAAATCCGACGTCATGAACTGTAGCCAAAAGATAGATATGTATGAAGAAGCCTTTGAAGACGCTTTCTCATCATGAACACTTTGAACATAATCACCAAACCAAACTATCGATTTTTTCCCTCAGAAAGACCATAGAACCCGTTTCTCATCAAACAATCAAAAAGATCCCTGAACTTTCTTGTTTGTATATCAATCAACAGACCAACTTTCTAATCAAATCGTTCATATAAATCCTAGACTATAGAATATAAATTGATAAAAGAAGAGCATCGAACAAATGACTTAGAGGGATATATAAAGGAATCAGAAGAGATAATGTACAGCTTGAAAAATCATGCGCTCAGATGAAAAAAAAACAGAGAATCATGATATACAATCAAGTCAAAAAGAGGTGATGAGATTTGATAGGTGTCATGAAGAAATAAGTAAAGGACATTCCAATATCTAACCTCTGACATAAAACAGATCAAAGAGTTAAGACCGAGAACCGATTGTGATCACCTAGATTTCATTTATGTTTTCCTCCTTTGAAGAAACTTGCTAAAAGTATACTACCTACAATTGCTGCTCCTCCCATTAAACTCATCCCAATATACCCCTCTAAAGAAAACGAAAACGAAAACATCATCAGTCAGAGCTCTATTCAACAGTCCTTGATCCACTTGAAAATGTATTACCTGTAGTGACACCTTTGGTAATTAATTCAGAAAGTGATTTAGCTTGAAGATTACTTGGTTCTTTTTCTAACAATAAATCTGTTTTCCATCACATTGACATTCGAAGAAGAAAACAAGGGAAAAACCATCAATTAATCATTTCGATTCTTTAACACTATAGAATCTTCATGAGAAAAAAAAACTTACCAATAAATCGCTTTGCTTCACCATAGTTTCCTAATTTATAATGACCTAAAGAAAGATAATAAAGACATTCTCTTCTCCTAGTAGGTTCTTGACGATAAACATCTAAAAAGAAACCAAAAAAAAAACAAAAAAAAAGTAAGAAATCAATCCAAAAGAACCCAACATACATATTCAAGAATCGATAAATTTCAAAAACACATACCCATAAAGATAGCAATCCCTTCAGAAACTTCACCATTCTTAACATTTCCTTTAACCAAACCCCAAGCTAAATTAAATTTAGTTTGAATCGAAACCCATCCTTTACTTTCTTCTGTTTGATATTGTTGTCTTAATACTTTTAATTCTTCTGTACTTAATGAAATCGATACATCAGCTGCATATGGTAATTTATCATTTGAACTTGATCCTATCATTTTTTTGATACGTCTTTTGGTGCTGATTGAGTTGAGGATAGGTTAGATCTGGTTTGTGTTGGATATTGGAGATCGATTTGAGTGAAATATGTTGGTGGTTAAGAGTTGAGGAGAGTTGAGGTACTTTTGGTCGTTGATTAAATTTCGAACCAAGGCTGTGTGACGAATATCCGGCCCGATACAGTCTGGGGCCCCTCAGATTGACCCGAGATTCGATCGGGTAGAATAACAAAATAAAAGGTCACACACTGGAATTCAAACATCTCATGAGTCATCCATCATTAGGCAAACTTCACTGAGTCCCTCTTGAGCCCTACCAGCCTGCTCAAACAAGGGACTCAGAGATCCACAATAATCTAGTGATTTTGAGGGGTCTTGGATCCGCAACCTAAATTTTCCGATGAGGGGGGTTGGAAAACAAGTGCGTGGACACCAGAGCACTCAAATCCAGGTGTTGTTGGGTAGAAGAACTTTGCTTAAATGCTCCATGTGCTTTTACTCTGATGTTGAGTGGATCAAAATCATCATTGGAGTCAATGTCTTGAATGTGTGTTATGTACTCCTGATGAGTGCACTCAACAGCCCCTACAAACCCCCAGATTCGAAGACTCTCAATCAAAGTTGAAGTGCTCTAAATGACACACCTTGTACTTTGCAGGACCACTGTAGCAGTTTTTTGACCCCCTAAATGTGTGAGACCCCACACAATAGGTGGACCATTGTGAATGCTCTTACACCTACATAAAGTCAAAAGAATGGTGTGAGATAGCTGGTTGGGGCATTTTGCCCAAAACCAGTCTCATTAGAAAACCTTTTTTTATGATTTCTACATGCTCCCATCTCAATATTAAGAAGCATGAACTTGAATCTCTTTTGAAATATCTCCTCAGAATACAAACATCTTGATTAGTTCCAGAGATAAATCAAAACCTATTGCTGTGTACCATACAGCAAAACTAAAATTTCACACTTGGACCAATCAAAATTACTGTAGATTTCAACCTGAAGTGCTCAAGGATATTCATATGTCTACCTTTGGAACCACTTGAGCTATTTCAAATAGGAGGGTTTCATTTTTGTTTTACAGTTGTTTGGGTTTTCTTCTTGCCAAATATTTGTGTAAATTTGCGGCTTATAAAAATTTGGGATGTAGTTAACAAAATTACAAGTTCTTGGATTTTTTGCAAAACTATGAATTTGTGATTTTGTTTTTACAGTAAAAGCTGCAAAATTGCCATTGCTTGACTTGAGCCCCCCTACTGAACTGAACCCATCTCTTCATATATGTCCTCACCACTAGACACAGTGCAACGTACAAACCACTTAAATTGGTCAAATGTGGTGACTGGTGACTGTGATCTATGAGCACTTTCAGGCCTTCATCATGTTCAAGGTGCATTCATGCCTGGTGACCTTTTGACCAACCCTTGATGAAAGACAACACTCCAGAAAGATTTGAACCACTTAACCCAGATATTGTGTTGAGTGACCTTATCACCAGATCAATTTAAGAAGGCCTACAAAGTGGACATCCATGTCCTTTTCAAAATTCATACAGACAATGAGGTAGATGTCAACACTTCCCTAATAAACAAAGCAACCAATGCTACCATCAATATGGACAGCTGCCTCATTGCCTATATGGATCTTGGATTAGACATGCATCATCATCTTGTTGGCCTTGTTCAATTGGTCTGACACAACACAATGAGTCAAGTTGGTTGTACAGGGTGATGGTCAAAAACTTCCATCTCAACAGAAAATACATCTTACATCCATCAAACCCAAAAGTTTCTACTAAGAAAATGGGACATATAATAGGGGATTCCAAGTCAAGAAATTTACAGTAGTTTACAGTCCAACAAGTTGTCCTATCTTACAAACTATACCATAAATTTAATAAAATCAGGACACCATTTTAGGTGTCCCAAATGCTGTTGACTGTATATTTGCAGAAAAAAAGCACCATAAAATTTAAACAACTTGTCCGTTTTTTAAAAAGTTTCACAAACATTTTCTGACTTGTAACCCCCTAATAGCTTAAAAATCAATCAATGATAATTTAATACATTCTTCATATCCTACAACCCCCCCAAAAAATCTCTAGGTCACAAATCCCTATTAAACATGTAATACAAATTCATTTACGAAAAAAACCTAATTTGCATGACGATGTTTTTTCAAACAGTATATTTTTTGATTTAATCCATTCACTTTTTTCCTATTATTATCAATCACTTTCACAACTCGATTTAATTCTATAGTAGCTAAACTTGAATTTTTATAAATTTTAATAGCCTGTCAAAAATTAAACATGTAATTAAAAATAAATCAGCTATTGACCTGTCAATTGATGATCTCATGTTTTAAACACAATCTTACCTCATTCAAACCCGGAAGAGGTGTAGCTCCATATCCCAAATTAATCCCAGGTGCAATAATCAAATTCCGATACCAAGCTCGACCTCTTAAACCAACTAGATCAATAAACCCACTCTCAAACGATTTCAAAAGTTTATTATACCTTCTTATCTTTTTTGGTTTTACATGCTCTATAGCTAAACAGAGATTATCAACAGCTTTTCTCAATGATGTAAAATCAACTTCTTTTGAGGTGGGTAAATGATTGATATAACCTTTCAAAGCTTTACCATAGGCTTTCAAGTCAATTGGTAAAACTTTTGATTCAGCAAAACGCAATGTTACCAAACCGAGCAGCCGAGCTACCGCAAGATGTCGCTTATAGCCCGGATCGCCAAATTTTTCCATCCAATACGTCGAGTCATAGACTGATGATCACAAGGAAGGTAAGATGTCAAAAAATCAGCCACATGTACAATACCCTTCTTTTTGAAGTCGAGAGATCAAGGAACCATGTCACAAACTCGAGTGGTAATGATACACTGGATCCCCATCTGCAGGACCGAACCCTGCATCGGCTGATGCGATGCCAACGTGTTGAAGGAAAGGTGTAAAATCACTTCCTGAACCCAATGGACCTATGGATATCTCATTTGTAGAATTTTGCTGAGATGCTAAGCGGTCGTATAAAGTACGCTGATCATCTTCTGGGTCTTCAATTTTCTTTGATACATCGAGGAAAACTGGGACGAGCGAGGGTGAAGCGCCAATGTCAAGTTGGGAACCCGCAGCACCTGAAACGCCAATATTAAGGTATACAGGTCAATAAAGCTTGAGACACCCAAGGAATGCACATGATGACATGAAAACTTACTGATATCAGTATTTAAGTAAACAGCTACATTTCTCTTGATCCATTTCTGATGATCTTCAACGAACTCCGTAGAGCCAATCAATCCTAGTTCTTCACCATCCCAGCTGGCAAACAGGATACTTCGGCGTGGACGCCAGCCGATCTTCATCAAGTTTCCAAAGGACTTGAGGATTTCGGTAATCACCGCAGTGCCGCTATTGGGGTCCCCAGCGCCAAAGATCCAGGCTGGATAGATGGAGATACACGGGTATAGTAGGTATTGGGTATTTGGAAATAAATTGCAAGCGCCAGTAGTGAAATGATTGACAAACCATCTCTATGATTTCCAATCACAACCACCTCGTCCGTTATGTGCCCTGGTATCAATGCATACGTGTTCCTATTGAGGCCATACATAATCATATCTAGAGTCAGCAAATTACCGGTTTTCAGAGATATACGTCTGAACATACCAAATCGTTGCCACCTCGTTGGTGACATCGTTGACGATTTGAACATTGGTGTCATTAGAAGGGCCAGTGAAATACTCAAAAGGCCCGAATCCGTTCCAATCGTGCCCCAAACACTTTCCAAATCCTTCCAGGCTTTTCAATAACGGTTGAGCATCATTCCAACTGATTGGTAAAGATGGTATACCAGGTATGCTTTTTGGTTCTACACGCTTAGCATGTTTGTAAGCCGGGATAAAAGGTGTGAGTGGATCACCAGGTTGCATTGAAAGATTTTCAACACTTCCACGTTGAATGCTAGATTGTTCACGTGCTGGACCATCAGGATATGTAACCTGGCCTGCCATTGAAGCCCCGTCTTCTGCGAGATCTGTGTATATGATCACTCCCTTGGCGCCAAACTGTTCGGCGAACGACACTTTCAGACCTCGATATATTTCGCCATATCGTACCAGTACAATCCGATCCTTGACACTGATTCCATTAGCCTGAAGTCGTTCGAAATCCTCCAGACGACCGTAGTTAACATACACCAGCGATCCTGAAGCTTTGCCCGGGTGGCTAAAGCCATGAAATGCTGGAAATTGAGCGGAACCATTTCTAGCTGTTGGATCAGTCTGGTGAGCGTTTTCGAAGAGGGATGCGGTGAAGATGGTAGTATTTGAGGTCGCGTTCCGTAAGACGATCAAACTTTCATTTCCAGGGAAAGTAACAAGTGGATAGTAACGATCAGTCCAAACTCGGGGCTTCGATCCTTTGCTGTATAACATCTTTCGAGCTCGTCGTGTCCCCGCATCAAAGACGTGCGTATCTCCCTGGGCTTTGATTCCAAGTAACTTCTCCCAAGTCGCTTGAGTCAATGAAGCAGTGTGTTCGTCGCCGGAAGTACCCGCAAGATGAGACCTCGACGTATATCGACGGACGATAGTTTGAATCGAAGACGCTGAGAACCCCAGAACGAAGTCATGTTCACTGGTTGGTGCTGAGGAAGGAAATATGAGACCAAAGTTGAATGGGCGAGAAACGAGGTCGGTCAGAATAGTTTGAATGCTATTCCAAGGATGACGTTGAGATGGTATGATTGATTGATAAAAAACGAAGGTGATGGCCGCGAAACCGATTACGCTAAGGAGACTGGAACGATCCCTGTTAGTCCGAAAGGCTGATCTGGTTGAGATATCAGAGTTTGAAGGCTGATGATTGTAAGTTTTAGGATAAAGTCCCATCTTTGGGAGATGACTTGGAGTGCGGGACAAGGTGTGATGATAAAATTCATCAGTTGTCTTGTCAGTCATCCGCGATCTCGATTCAGTATGACGTCATCAACCAGACAAATCATTCGAGATCTTGACCAAGAACTTCATTCCACTTTCTCAAAATCCTCTGACATGGTAAATAAATCAGTCTTTTCATTCAAACACCAAACTTGGAAACAAATGGCTTTCAATCGAATCACTATACATAATCATCGAGTTCTTCGTAGCGCAACCCGAAACCAGGCGCTTGCCGACCATGGAATGTGCCTACAACATCCTACAACCCTTTCCCTGCCAAAGCTACGACATCTGCGGTTTCAACATTCCAATGGAAACATTGATGCAATTTCTGATCTGTGTTAAACCACTAAAGGGACTCTGAAAGTGATAGGATATGTCACATATTCTCCAAATTCAGCTATCAGAATGGCCATTGAACCTCTGAAGGACACCCTTCAAGGTCTTTTTATAAATTTGATTCCAAATAACTTTCCAACTGTGATCATCAATATGACGTTGCCACAGCATTGTGTTATACGAAGCTTGTCTTTCACGGTAGATCCAGATCCAAACTCTTTTCTTTGACTTCAATCACCAATCTTTCAAACTGTTTAAACCTTGGTTACAACTCTCAAGTATGGAAAAGACTATTGGGAAACAGTTTTGAGATCTCTTGGTACCGGTTGTCTTCAAACCCCGTCTAATCTGATACATTTGATCTTCCCTATTGACTGGCATGGAAAAATATAGATGAATCATTAGTCAAAGCTTTTGGGCTTCATGGGATTAAGTGTTATTTCATGCCTTGATTGAATCCTGACAAAATCATGGTTGTATGCAAAAAGCTAATCTATATATTGGATGCCAAATCAGAAAAAAGTGCTGATTTTGCTCTTTTGTTTGATTACTCAAAATATAGGGATTAGACTATGATCTCAATGGGCCAATGGAAAGAGCAAATCCAATCACACAGCTTGATACTTTTGCTAGATCATTATGTTCAAGCAAAAAAATGTGTTGGATGCCTATGTCAAATTCTGTCCTTTGGTGATACACCCTATCATCATATTACTCTTCAAGAGATTATTGGAGCTTATTGGTGGCACATTTCAAGTGATGAGTTTATTCAGCTGAATCACAGATTCCACAAAAGCCCAGCAATCATTCATCAAGCACAAGTAACATCATGGAAAATTATAAATATCATTATGCATCAAGCCTCTTGACATATTTATGAGACCGGAATCTGACCAATAATAACTACAAATTAGTCAGGATACAGTCTTTTCATTGAGAAACCCATACCTTTGTCAAAGAAATCCGGCTGAATAAAGTTGTTGTATCCATGAGCTAGGTCTTTGGCATCCATCCTCCTCATAGCTCAGGGACGTGCCATAATCAAAGCTACTTACTAAGTCAACATCTTTTCACACACCACAAGAGCTGTTGGGTATGATAGTGGGTGGCTTCAAATAAGCAGAGAGCATTAATGAGTCCATATTTATTAGGGGGTATGGAGTGTAGACATCTAGGAATGCCTTGAGGAAAGCTCTGGAGACAGAGTTCAGCTGTCTAATGAACTAGCAGTCAAGTGTTTTGCTTTCAAATTGTTCTCTTGAATCTCAGGAAGCAAATTTCAGCATCTGTCACAGGTCAAGATCTGACAATCATGGTTTTTTTTGGTTGGTACATTCATCAATATACACTCTAAAGATACAAAAAAATACTATGATTTCAGTTCCCAACACCAGGAATCATGTGCATATTTTTTGTATTTATTGCTCTCTTCCTGACTCTCAATGATTTTGTATATCAATATCTATGTTTTCTGCCCAGAAAATGTGATATTTTTTGTAGTGTTATGTTATTTACTCAACACAAACCTTTGTTTTAAGCCAGATGTGGTATGGGAATTTGAAAGACCCATTTCATGTACTTAAACTTCAACCTCCCCTGTACTTCTCTGGTAACTCAAGCTGTCAGGTGATCCATGATTGATCATTTTCACCTTTTTCTGAGATATGTACACAAGCTTTGAGGAGAGGTGAAACAGAACTCCATGGATCATCCAGTAGCAGTAATTCAAGAAAATGTAAAGACAAGGTTGGAGCTGGTTCATATGCAGTGGCTCTTTTATTTACCAATTCCCTTGTCTTTTGAATTGAGGGAAATGTGGATTCTTCACTCACGAAACTTAGTATGAAACATACTAAAAAATCAAGAGAACAGTGTTTGGACAAAACCCTGGGCGATATGCCTAGGGTAATAAATTGCTTGAAATAATAAAAAATATCACACCCTCTCTGACCCGCCTATAAGCCGTAAATCAGAGTGGTGAAGAAGGAGAGGGAAAAAAGAAATAGCGCCAAAATAAAACAATTGTCAGTCATATGAACACAACAAAACCAGTCCAAACACATTTGTAGGCTGAAAAGCCATTAGCCAACGCAGGCAGCAAGCCATTGACACAAGCAAAAAAAAGGTTTTTAATAAAAAACCATTGACCAGCACCAGAAAAGGCTAAAAGCCATTGACCAAAGTGACCAAGCGTAAAAGCTTATGACACAAATAAACACAAACCAAAAACTCACTATCAAAACGAGACTCTAGACCCAATGTGAGCCACGTGCCCGATTACATGGTTCTGATTTTCCGGTAATCGTAAGGCAACGTGACCACGAGTATAAATTAAAAACGTGTCAGACGACCAGCGACCTGCGCTCTTGATCGCCTCCATGTTTGAGCCAGCTTGAGCCATGGCTGTCGCCCCTCCCGACCTCAAAGAATGACCTGAAAAAGATTTGTCGAAATGAAGATGGAATCGAGAAAGAAACCAGGAACGAGTTGGAGGAGTGCCTGATGAAGTTAAGAAAAGTTCATGTGAAGATATGAAGTTGGAATCGCGTTGACGGAGGTAAGATTTCATCAAGCAAATAGGACAGGCGGGGGAATTATAAAACTCTTGAACGACCACTGGAGCACCTAAAAAATTTCTATCGCCTTTCGAATATGGAAGGTGATACTGCATGAATTTCTTGCAAGCTGAGAATCGAAAAGATGAGCGTAAAATAATTTTCCTTGCGTCGAGAAGTTTTGCTGAATTAGGGACTGTCATTTCTCCCAAACGGTGAAGACCTCCAAGACCAACGCTCAGCATTGCTAAAAATAGTTTATCATCATAAGAATGAGAGGACTTAGATACAACCGAAACCAATTGAACCAGCGTAAGGGGATTTTTTCTAACTACTGGCTTTGAGTAATTAGCCAAGCAGTGTTTCATCGTTTTCTTGACGTCTGGATGGTTGGTTTGACAAGTGATTGAAGGAAAGTCGCGATTGAAAATATGTTTGATACCGGTTAAATACGCGCGGACTGATCGAGGAGAAATCATGCAACTGAGACAAGTAATAAATTCACATAAGTCATTTTTGTTTGGGCTAAGGTCTTTTTCGAAATGAATACAAAATTTAGCCAAGCATTTAAAACCGGACTTGTATTTCAAAAGAGAAGAATCTTGGACGGAGTTACGACAATCTTCTATTGACATATGTTGTAACTCTTCTACACTAATGTTCGGAAAAGGCTTCCTTGGTTTGGGTTTAACCACACTTTTGGATTTACCCATGATGAAGACGAATCGGCGATGGAGTCTGGGTCTTCTTCCGATAGTTCGAGAGAATCTAAATTGACTTCTTTCCCGCCGGATGAGAGAGACGGGTCGATGTTTAAATAGGCGATTGAATCTGCATTAATGGCATGACAAAGAATATTGTGGTCCTTAACCATTAGAACAGATTTTATGCGAGATAATTTATCAGCCTCTGAGTTGTCTTCTGCTGAGACATGTCTGACTTTAACGTCGACCTTAGACAAAACTAATTGATGAACGCAGGAACAGAATAAGGGACGAACAATCCTGTTCGGTGCATGAGTCCTAAAAAGATTGACCACGTTCCTGTTGTCACAATGAATGAAAATCTTCTTTGCTCCGTTGGCGATACCGATTGTTATTGCCAATACAACACCCAGTAACTCGGCCCAAAAGATATTTCGAGGTGGGGGCGGCAGGATGAGATACTTCCCATTACGTGAACTCGGCTCCCAGACACCAATGCCCGTCATGCAAGCGTCGGTGAAGAAAATCACATCTGCTTCCGGAAGGGCCCAACGTAAGGTGTTCAACATTTGGACACCCTCGCTATCCTTGAAGAATTGGATCACCCATCGCAAATCGTTTTGATTTTCTTTGTTAAGATGGATTTGAAGATAGCGATGTTTCTTCTTGCCGGACTTTTCATATAAACTTTGGAGAGCAAACCTCCCCCACGGCATCGAAGTACATGCCCACGAAGCATGAACTAAAACCCTGTGCCAGTCGTTGAGAGAGTGGCCTGGCTTAGATACGAAGTTTTGAAGAGTTTCGATTAAATGTTTCTTCTTATCCGGATGTAAATACATTAGCATCTTCTCGGAATCGACAATGTGACCGATGATTTCGATTACCGGACCATTGATTTGCTTCTTCCAAACCCAAGGAATACCAAGTATGTCCCACAGGTTTAACAACTTTGCTTGAGGTAAAGGAATGCAGTGACCTTTGAATTCGACCGAGTGTTTTTTAGAACAGACTGACCAAATGTCGTCCATCATGTCGTTCATGTACTTTATTCCGAACTTGAACTCTGCAATCCATAGAACCAAAGAAAAAACACCGCAGAATATATGGGGAGAAGCGGAAGAACCAAAGGTTAGATCATGGTCCACTCTTTTCCTATCACCCCTAATTTTGATGATTTGACAAATTTGATATTGTAAATGGAGCGGAATCATTCTAAAGGCGTTCTCCACGTCTGATTTGTACAAATCTACTTCACCAAATTCTTCTTTCATTTCAATTAAAAAGGGAATGAAAGTCTTGAGAGAATCATAAGCAATCGGAATGTCGCATTTTTTGATCAGAGAATTAGGGG